AACCAAAACAAATCCATAACAAACCACATGGCTGTGCTGAGCACTGCTGAAGAAAAATGAGTTCAGGCAAATTAATAGGGAAATTAATGGACATTTTACCTCCCAGCATCAGTACAAAGGCTTAAAGCCCATTCCATGTCTCTTAGTGCTACACTTAAAAGTAAGATTCAGCATGAACTTTAGACAGGATAATATGCTGGAACACCAGCATAAATAGGAAAGAAAGCTAGTATTACAAAAGTGACTCAATGACCTCGCAGATAAAGTCCAATACAAATGATGTATTTTGACGCCTCTTCCTCCTGACTAGCCAAAAGGAATTAAAAAAAAAAAATTAAAAAAAGAAAATCACAGTGCAACTATAAAATGCACATGCAGTCTTTTCAGGTATAAATTCATAAAATCAGAAGACAAAATTAAAGGTCTATCTCTAGTCTATCAAACCCACTTCACATCACTCAGATTATTTTAAATTCAGTGCTAGCAGTTTAATGACAGCAGCAATGCATTTTGTTTCAATCAACATTATTATAAAAAACATGTTATCATTGCAACAAAATAAAACCTGTAACTTATTTCAACAAGGGAAGAATGAGAAAAATAAGTAAAAAGCATTGAGGAAAGAGAAAAGGAGTCAATAGTGCTTCAAATAACAGTAACAATACACTTATGAAAACCCTACATTAAATACATACCCACATATATGCTCACACACACACTTATCTTCCCTTTATAGTGCACTAGCTCTAAGCCAAAACTGGCAGGGTCAGTGGTATAAGCACATGTTCATGCTTTATAAAAATAAGATCAGCAAGCTGAGAAAGAGGACTTCAAAAAGAATACATCATCTATTCTAGACCCTCTTGTTTTGAAGCAATTTCAAGCATACCCCAAACATTCCTGATAAGGGCATTCCCCTTGATGTTAAAAAAAAGAATCAATAAATAGAAATCCTAATTTGTCATGATACCTTGGGTTTTAGCTTTTATATTTTTCAGATTCTCTGCTGCCTGGTATGTAACTCTGAAACTTCCTATTAGGTGTTAGTAAGTTCTCTTCACAGGGTAGTCAGCCAAAACAATCCCTTCCCAGCTACAGAATCAAGGACAACCATTACCCAAAAAGCATAAACAACAGTGGAGAGAAGGGGGCAAGACAGGGGGTTGAGACTTCATGACCTGGAGCTGTAACTGGACAACTGAACCCAGTATGTAATGAATCCAAACTTATAAAAGTGTAAAAACTTGTGACCGGCATCCATCTTGGATTCAACTTGGGTATAGTCCTCACCAGCCTCTTGTGCTGCCCAAGGTGTACTCTTTTAAGGCCTTTCAATAAATACCTATTTTGTCCATTTAGCTCTGTTTAGTCTCTGTTCCTGATCAGCCTTTCTAGGCATCAGTCACATAACCATAGACAGGAAACCACTGTTGCCAAGGCCTGCAAAATGACACAGTGAAAGAACATTAAAGTATCTCACCCAAATTAAGCTTATTATTTCCTTCTATTCAACAAGGGACAGGAACACAGTTGAACTTTCTCTCAATTTTCTCTTAACTAAAGATTGCATCTCAGTCTTCTTTCTGAACAACTGTCATTCAGTTTGTCCAGAATCTTCCAACAACTGCAATAGGCCATATTTTTCATGACTTCTAGCTCATCTCTGATGCCTCTCACACTTGTGTGTGTATTCCCCAAAGAGATCCCAGTGCCCACAACCTACTGCAGTACTCTAACAGAGGCTTTAAAAGCACCAAGCACAGGAGAGAATTTCCTTTCTGTGTTTTACATGCAGAACTCCTGTTAATATACCTCAAAAGGAAATCTGAAGTGTTTGAACTGGCATTCTCTCGTAAGTTCATGGCTCAGCCTGCAGACCATTTTACACCTTTTTTGATTAAACAGCAGCACTGCAAAGAGGTTAGACACAACAGGAAGATTTATTTTTCTCTTTTATTTTCCAGGAATAAGCAGCAGTGACTCTTCAATAGGCACAAATTTGTGACATACAGCTCAAAGTTTTCAGAACTTAGTATGCAGCAGATTTTGTAATTTTCTGAAGTGCTTAGAAACAGCTTTTTTTTTTTTTTTTCATTCACACATATCTAGGACACAGTCAAGCTATCTATAGCTGACTGATTCCTTAATTCTCCTCGAGTTTTAAAGAGAATGGCTTTAAATTATCCTCTAGTCAAAGATAATCACCCTACCAAGACTAAAGATGACATTTTTCCCACTGTATTACATTCCTTTCTCATACATGTTTCAGCAGCAAAATGAAAAGCAAAACACAAAACCCTGACTGTGGAAGCACCATTCTTTCATCACTTCATATTGACCAGAATACCTCTTCACCAGCCAGGGAAACAGGATCAACTGGCACACTGCACCATGAACCTCCCAATCCAGCAGGGCCTATCAAATGATCTGCTGGCCAGCTTCAGTCTGACAAATCCTTCCACCCATCCCAAACCCTTGGCTTAGAGGAGACTGAATCACTGTAACAGCTAAACAGCACCTGAGCAGACAAAGTGGCAAGCTCCTCATAAAAGAGTTTCTGACATATTTCTTTGGGCTTGTCTTGAGGCCACCTACAGACACTGGTGACAGCCATTCCTGCACCAGCACCACTGTATCAGAAAGTCACAGACATGGAAATCAAGAAAAAAACCCATCAGGATCTGTCTCCTGATGTTTCCCAGGATGAAATCTCTTGTCTTTGTATTAAGGTTTGTGTGTCCTACACCTACTGTAAAAAGCTCAGTAAAGATTTTGGGTATATTTGTCTTCCACCTTCTCATAATAAATGACACCTTTGGAAAAAGGATTATATTTAGGATATTCTATCTGTATCAAAATCCATCATAAGAAGGCAAATGTAAATCCAGTTGACAGGACACCTGGTTGGACATGTGAAGTTAAAAGTACCATAACAGAGTAGTATATTTTCGAAGCAACCAAAAAACCCAAAACAATGGAATAGTTAAGAGACAGATATATAGATAAAGATACACATATCTTGTGTACATATATATATATAATCTCAAAAAACCCAAAACCACAAACCCAACTCATTATTACAGCTATGGACTGAAGGGCAAATTTGGGGGTGAGTAGGTTGGCTCCTACCACAATGCTGTAAACAATGGCCTATTTTTTCAGACACTGCAGAAGGAACTGACTACAGGACAACTGTAGAGACAAAATCACTGAGGAAGGTAGATGCCTGCCCTGATTTCAGCTAGGATAAAATTCTTCCCAGCTGCTGGTAACAGTGCTTTGTAGCTGGTACAAAACAAATGTTTTGTGCATCACCTGGATCTCTCTTTCTTGCTCTCCTTTTTATACAAACATTGTTAGTAGCATAATTTATTTTTCATCAGTTATTAAACTGCTCCTATCACAACTCACAAAGTACATTTTTTTCCCCTGAATTCTCCACTCAGCCAGTCTGTGGATGTAGTGTGTGAGTGGCTGCCTGGGGTTAAAACAAAATCCCTTGTTTGTAAAAAAAAAAAGCAACCAAACACAAAACCCCCACAAGGGTAAGAATGAAATAAACATTAAACAACATTTAAACTAGTCCACAGGTAAGATGGACATAACATCTTTCACTATTAAAGTTATGGCACAGTTATAGATAGATATAAAAAAAGTGAAACTGAGTACTAAAAGTAACAACAGAAAAGTATTCATGCCATTGATCAAAAAGTACTTCAGCTACACCAATCAGATGAGTCCAGTTTCAAATCCTAAAACCAAATATCAAAGAAAAGAGTTATCTTCCAAAAACAGTGGCAAACAAATGGATTCCCTTCTAGAAGAACTACAAGACAAAGTTTCAATTTTGTAATCACATATGAAACTAATTCAGATGATAGCTCATGAATTTTTATTTGCCTAGAATTAATTTGCATTGCACAACTATAAAACATGCTTATCATTGCTAACACACTTATGAGTATTAAAAAAAACCAGACAAAACAAACAACAACAACAAAAAACCCTCAAACCAACTAAACCCCCCACAGAACTAGTGTTAAATGCAAGACAGACAGGTAAGTAGGTTATTACTGTTTGACAACAAAAGAGTAAAGGAAGTACATTCTACACTGGATGTACAACTAGCAAAATATGAACAGCAAGAGTAATGCCTCTCACTCCTCCATTACTATATCATGCTTTAAGTTCAGCCATCTGACCTCTGAGAAACTCCTGCAATCCTGAAAACTTATTCCCAAAATTTAAAGGCACACTCACATCAGACTATGGAAAACATCACTGGCTCAGTTCCACCTAGACTCCTCTTTTTAGCTGATGTTTAGTTGAAGAAAGTCATACAGGGGTCAAAAGAGTAGCTTAAAAATGGAAAGTGGTTCCAAAGGAGAACAGTATTAAAGGAACAGAAAGAGAGCAAAAGGGACAGAAGTGAGACTGTTCCTTGGGTATACAGCGTAAGAGGTTATGAAAGCATGTAATTCAAGAAGGCTGCAAACACTGTGGAACTACTAAGGCCAAAATTGATCCACAATACACATCAATACAAACTGTTTAATAATCAACACTGAAAACTTGTCTATGTAGCTCCAACACCCAGGGAAGCACCAAATACAGTGACATGCCCCCTTGTCCAGTACTACACCAGTGATGCAAGTAAAAGTCGACTTGTAAAAAAGGCCACCTTACGAAGTTAACGGGTACAGTCAAAACATTTATGAGACAGCTTCTGGAGCTGTGTGTCTGCATCTCCAGGTAATGCCTCACAACGTCGTTTCCAACGCCAAACAAAGGAAGTCGTGGAACGGGACACAAACAACATCCCAGAACCCTATCCGTCTCCAAAAGCCAGGCCCTAAGCCAGCTCTGAGCTGGCCCGGCCTCCTCCGGCTTCCCCCTGCACTGAGTCCGCTCGGCGACACCGGCACCTCGGGTGCTGGCACAGCCCCTTCCCAGATCCTCAAGGAGAGGGCTGGCCCGTCCAATCCCCCATCCCGACCCACCTTGAGGAGGATGGAAGGCGGCAGCTGGTTTATATCCGGGGTGGGTGGCGGCTGCAACTCCCGGCAGCTGTCGCCGGGGTACTCCAGCGGCTCCTCGCAGCCCGCCTCGCCGCCTCGCTCCTTCTCCTCCTCCCGGCCCTGCTCCTTCTCGTCCTGAGCCGCGGGAGGCGGTGGCGAGGCGGGCTGTCCCCCGCCACTCAGCCCGGCGGTGCCCCCGCCGCTCTCCCCCGCGACGCCGGGCAGGGCGAGCAGCTGCGGCTCCGCCGGGCACTGGCAGGCGCCGGGCTCGGGCTCAGCGGCGGCGCAGCGCGGCTGCTTGCAGGGCGGGCAGGCGGGCAGCCCGGCCCCCTTGCGCTTGCACACCATCTCGGAGGAGACCTCGCCGGGCGGCCCCAGGAGGCCCAGCACCGGCGAGGGCAGCAGGCCGGAGACGAAGAGGCGCTGGCAGTGGCCCGGAGGTTCCCAGGCGGCGGGCGCCAGGCGCAGGAGGCGGCGGGCGACGCGCTGCTCCGCGGCGGTCAGCGACACGTAAGGCGGCGGCGGCGGCGGAAGCAGCGGGTCCCCGGCGGGCAGCGGCTGCTCCGGGGCGGGCGGGCTGGCGCCGTGCACGATGAAGCAGAGCATGCAGGGCCCGCGCAGTAAGCAGCTCCTGCTGCGCGGCGGAGGCGCTTTCCCCCGTGGGCGGCGGCGATCCCGGCTTAGGCTCCTTGCCTCCTTTGAGAGCAGGTGGCCCATATAGGAGGGGAAGCAGCGGCAGCGGAAGGGCGGGTGTCACCTGCGGGAGGCGGCGCCGGGAGCTGACATGCTGCCGGCGGGCCGGGGCAGGAGGCGGTGGCGACGGCGGGGCTTGTTCCGGGACGCCGGGAGGGAGGGAGAAGCTTCCGCTACCGCCGGCCTGACCTCCCCCGGGGAGCAGGGGCGGCGCTCCGTGGGCCGGCGCTGCTGCCGCCAGCGGCCCTGCTGGGCCCGGGGAGGGTCGTGCGGGTGTGTGCCTGCCGTGTGCCCGCCCTGTGTCACATCGGTGCGCTCACTGTGTGAACGCGGCTCTACAGACCGCCTACGGCACATACGCCTGTAATATGTGCGTGTATGCATTACCACAGAATCGTTAGGGGTTGGAAGGCACCTCTGGAGATCATCTCGACCTACCCTCCTGCCAAGACAGGGTCACCTGGATCAGGTAACACAGGAAGGCGTCCAGGTGGGTTTGGAATGTCCTCAGAAAGGGAGACGCCACGGCTCACCTGTTCTAGTGCTCTGCCACGCTCAACGTGGCGTTCTTTTTGAGGTGGAACTTACTGTGTTTTATTTATACTAGTTATAGTTTAGTTTAGTTATACTACCCCTTGTCATGTCATTGGGCAGCGCTGAAAAGAGTCTGGACCATCCTGTTGGCACCAGCCTTGAAAATATTTATACACGTTGCTGAGAGTCCTTTCACTTTTCTCCGAACTAAACGGGCCCAGCTCCTGCAGTCTCTCCTTACAAGAGAGATGCTCCAGACCCACCATCATCTTTTTGGCATCTGCTGGACCCTTAGGTCATTGCCTTACATATATATACACATAAGACATATAAAATATGTGCATATTTTTTAGGAACTGATAAACAATTTTTTTGTGCTACACTTTTGTGGAAACCCAGAGCACCAAGAATATTTCTCTCTCTGCTGTGGGGTGCCCTGACCCCCAGGGGAGCACTGACTTTGACCTTCATTCATGGAGAAAGATTCCTAGAGTTCAAGACAGACTAGAATCCACAAAAGTGTGACATAGATTATAGAGAGCAGTGTAGGTGTATCACTTGGTGAGAAATTTAGGTTTTGGGATTTTTAGTATGTTGTGGATGGAAGCAAGATGAAGGGTACAGGGTGTCATCCTGGGTTTCTTCTTCATGCTTCTTCCTTCCTCTTTATGGGTTTGGGTGGCATTTTGTAATTGGGCAGAAAAGTCCGCATTGCAGGCTCTTTGGGATCAGTTACTGGGTTAAAAGGGAAAATCATCTAGGTGTCTGTTTTTAATTGGATAGTTTAGTCTTAAAAGACCTTATGTAACAAGAGATTGTTAGCCATCTTGTGCCTTGTAATGAAAAGCTGCTGAACTCACAGTAGTGAGTGTTTTACTGGTAAGAAATAATAAACACCTTTGTCCAAACATGAACTACTGTCTCAAGTACTTTCAATCCAGACCCAGAGTAACCAACACACTTTGTAGGCAAATGTGAGAAGACCCTTTCCTATTGGTCTCAGATTATATGTAGGACAGTGGCTGAGGTTTTGCAGCGGCAAAGCAACACAAGCTTAGAGACCACCAAGAGCAGTCTTCCAAGTCTCTTCTGTCAACATCATCTTTCCACCAGCACTTTCCAGAAAATACTTGTTTTATGCTGTTTTAATTCATTGTACCTCTCAAAACAGGGCTCATATGGGACCTCTGACCCCCTATGCCCTCCTGCAGACACTCATCTCTAACTGCAGAGTGTTGAACCTCAGTAGAGGTGCCCTGGTTTGTAAATACTTGCTGGAGGCTGCACTGCTTTAATTAAGACTCTGCTTAGTGCCTAGCAAAAGCAATTTGTTTCAACATTCAGTTCTAAACAGTTGATGTAGCTATATAGTCTTAGATATGTAGTTTAAATATATGTGCAATTTTGTCCTTAGTAAAAGGTGTCTGGGGAAGGAGAAGGCAAGTTATAGCTAGAGTATATATGACTCAGTACTAATATTAAACAACAAAGGGCAGGAAAAGAAATGCACAGTATTTTATATTGTGTAGCACGTGTTTTGGCCTTTTGCCCAGGGACGAGTTGTGTTAGGATTAAAATACCCATGCTGCTATTATTTTTGTTTGCTACCTCTATTATTAGTCTTCAGCAGCTCTGTAAAAATGTTTCCTATGAGAAAAGTACTAAATATGCCTTTGGATAAAAGCAGAGCAATAGAATACTGTGTTTGGATTTATACTTCAATGAGCTTAATCAATATAAACCACAGCAAATCTTAGCAAAAAAATTGGCAAGGCCTTTTCTGCTCTTTTGGGAGAATGGGTTGAAAAGCAGAAGACAGCTGGGAGTAAGTCTTGGTAAGACTGTGTGAACAGCAGACTAGTCATCCTCGTATATGGACTGAGTTTAACAGTGCCTTCTCTGCACTTGTGTAGCCCAAGTGTTGCTTCAGAACTCCTCCAGTTAGCATAATGGACATAAATTCACTCTTTGTGCCTTAGCCATTGGTTTGTGCCTGTCCCAGCTGCCTGCCAATGGTGGCTCACGCACTCCCTCCTCCCACTGACTCAAAATTTTATTTCAGTAAGGAAAAACAAAAACAACATTAAAAGAAGATGAAAATCCAAGTCAAATCTTCAAACCAATCTGAACTCAGAATAAATGCTGGCTGCCTTCAACTTCTCCAATGTGTTTCCTTCCCACACAGTCTGCAGTACTTCAAGAACCCCTCCAGAGTGGAGCCCTTCCATGAGTCCAGAGTTCATGCTAGGAGCCTGCTCCATAACAGAATTCTGATGGGATCACCTGTGCCTTTGGACATCCACCTGCCCCGGCATGGGATCCTCCATGGGCTGTCAGTGGTTCTGTGCTCTACAGCGGACTCCTCCACAGATCACAGTCTCTTACACTCAAGTTCACATTGGAGTTCCAGCCTGCCCAGTATGGCAGCACAGGAGCACTGATTGCCCTGGGCACCCTCCAGCCCAGGCACTTTGCCATGGCTGTCACCAAAATGTTCCAGGTACAACATGCTGAGGTGACCAGCAGAGCAGCCAGCAGCAAAGTCAGAACAGCCACTAACAAGCGCTGGGTTCCAACAGACAGACAGGAAAACAAGCCCCATGGCAAGCACAGTAGCCTGCCAATTAATAGCTAAATAGCAGTAACAGCTACAAATTCGTTGCAGCACATTCAGTCAAATCTGCCATTATTTCAACCCTTCATGCAGTACACTGGGTGCCAAAACAACTGACGTGGTATAACTGCAGCTGTTCTTTTTTTCATTTTAATCACTTGCTTTTCTTGAGTTTTATTTCTTATTTCCTTGTTTTGTCTTCATTTTTGTGTTTTCCTTGCAATTCATTATTGCTACTACTATAACTTATTAAACTGCTGTTAGTTACCTCAGCCCATGAGGGCTGAGTTTGTTTCTCAGTTTTACACTTCCATTTCTTTCCCTACCCACTAGGATGGGGGAGTGAGAGGAACTAAGCAGCTGTGTATTTCTTAGTTGCCAGCTAAGGTTAAACCACAACAAGTGTGTTTGTTTTAAGTATATTTGGTATGATTATAGAATTTTCCCTTCAAGTAGATTACACAATCACAGAATCCATTAGTTTGGAAAAGACCTGTGAAATCATCAAATCCAACTTTTTACCAAACGCCACTATATCAACTAGACCATGGCACTAAGTGTCACATCCAGCTTTCCCTTAAAAACCTCCAGGAATAGTGACTCCACCACCTGTCTGGACAGCTCATTCCAAGGTCTAATCACCCTTTCTGTGAAGAAATTCTTCCTAGTGTCCAGTCTAAATCTCCCCTGAAGCAGCTTAAGACTATGTCCTCTTGTCCTGTAACTGGTTCCTTTGGAAAAGAGATTCCTCCTGCTACAGCCTCGGGTCAGGGAATTGCAGGGACAGATGAGGTACCCCCCCAGGCCTCCTTTTTTCCAGGCTAAATGCACCTATATTCTTCACCTGCTTGTAATCAGACTTGTGCTCAAGACCCTTTGCCAGCTTTTTTCCCTTGTCTGGACATGCTCCAGCCCCTCAATGTCCTTCCTTGAATGGAGGAACCCAGAGCTGGACACAATGCTCGAGGTGTGGTCTCACCAGTGCCCAGCACAAGAGGATGGTCACTGCCCTGTTCTGCTGGGAGGGGATTGTTGCTGACACAGGCCAAGATGTCCTTGGGCCTTCTTGGCCACATGGGCACAGCTGGGTCATGTCCAGCTGCTGTCAACGATCACCCCCAGACGCTTTACAAACAGGCAGCTCTGACCCAGCCTGCAGCAATGCAGGGGTTTTTGTGGTCTTGTTGAACCTCAGACCACTGGCCTCAACCCATCAATCCAGCTTTTCAGATCCCTCTGCAGAGACTTCCTGCCTTGTAGCAGACCAACACACCCGCCCAAATTTGTGTTGTCCAAGAATTTGCTAATGGTAGATTCAATCCCCTCATCCAGATCATCAGTGAAGATACTAAACAGAACTGGGCCAAGCACTGATCCTGGGGAATAGCACCAGTGACAAGAGGCCAGCCAGATCCAGCACCATTCACCACCATTTTCTGGGCCTGGCCATCCAAACAGTTTTTAACCCAGCAAAGAGTGCTCCTGTCCAAGCCCTGGGCTGCAGCTTTTCTGGGGAGATCAAAGGCTTTGCTGAAGTCCAGGCAGACCACAACCTTTCTCTCCGCCCCCTGGTGGTCACCTGGTTATAACAAGAGATTTTTACGCCGCTGGTATCTTAAGAATTGCTTTGTACAACTGGGTCATCAATAGCAGACATAATGTGTATCAGAAGTTACAGAATTTCTGAAGTTGCTGCATGTATAAAATTTTTATCATTGTAGTAGACAAGTTCCAAGGCAATTATGCTGTCAGAGTGCCATGGGGGTCAGGGCAGCAGGCAGGGCAGGACAGGGCTTCACCAGCTGTGACCAGAGGCAAAACTTTACCACATCCCAGTTGTTCACAAATGTCTTTATTACCTAAACCTACACATTTATGTCTAGCTGCTTCAACTAGATCTTCAAAGTTCCCCCAAGATTTGCAATATCTGTAGGCAAAAGGAGAAATTATTTCTATTGTTTTCAGCCTTCCATCTGAAGTCGAAACATACTTCTCCCAAAACACCACCTGCTTCAATTTCTGAACCTTGCAATCCAGTCTAATCAAGATCTCATTCAAAAACAGAATTTTGTAAGTACCATAACAAAGCTTTGGGTTTTGTTTTGTTGTTTTTTGGTTTTTTTTTTTATAATCTAGGCATAACTTTTTAGATACAAACATAGAGGGAGAGTTTAGCTTATTTTTCAAGATGGTACACTGTTTTTTTTTTTTTCTAACAACCTGCAAGAGCTAAACAAATTTTAAATTACTATGGTAATTTAAATGAGATTTAAATGAATGATGAGAAATACAGAGAAGCAGAGGGTGCTTCCGGTCTATGCAAGCGTTTTAACACTGAGCGT